AGATAGATAGATAGATAGATAGATAGATAGATAGATAGATAGATAGATAAAATATTCACAATCCCTTTTGCCTTGGAGCAGCACAGCCTGACAACTTTATAAAATAACAGAAAAAGTCACTGTGCGGAAGGGAGGAGTAAGCAATTATCTTGATCAAGGCACTTTCACCAAAAGGAGACTGGGGGAGGACAAAAGTGGCAGCAGATTCTCACACCTACTGAACATCAACAGTGGTGTATGCTGCAGCTGTATCATATACCAGGCAGGCAATACCACTGAGGTTGTGATGGGCACAGGAAGATGTAGCAGGCCACTCTGGGCTTCAGTGGGGCTGATGGTTGAGATTGATCCCACCTGGCAGCCCTCAGTATTCACCTTTGGTGTCAGTCATCAGGTCTTAAGTGGCCCTGGATTCCAGCTGCTGCTCTTGAATGCCAGATCAGTATGAATGAGGCAGCTGACCTGGCATGTATAATGGACCTGGATGGGCCCAGAGGGGGAAGTTGCCCTCTCAGAGATATACTTACCTGGGTTTTGAGTTTGGCATCAGCTGTGAACTTGGGTGGGGGTAGGGGTAGTGGTGATAGTCATCCAGAAGGCCTTGATGGCTTTCAGAGACTCTGCTTTACAGATGAGAGACTCTGGCTTAAATTGGGTTCTTGGGAATAGATGAGTTTGTTGCTGCTGTATCAGCACACTTACTGTGCAGCAACTTCACTTTCATGCCTGAGCTGCTTCATTTCATCATTAGGCTGGCAATGGAGAACTCGGGGCTTATAATTCTCGGGGATTTAAACTTGGTCTTGGCATGACATTGAAATCTTGAGCAGCTCAGGGTTTCACAGCTGCCATGGCAACCACCTAAAAGCAGGGATTACAACTACGGACCTGATCCACAGGCCTGACACATGGCAGGGATTACATGTTACGTCCGGTTTTTGTCCTGGAGCGGTTGTAATATGATATGATAATAGAGGACATCACCATCAGTCACTGCCACGGTCTAATCACTCATCACTTTTTGGTTTATCATGCATTCCACCCTACCCTACCGCAGAGAGGTAGGAACTATTAGAGCAATGTTTCCACCCCACCCCCATCCACCCTCCCCCAGGCAGCAAACGGATCCTGACAGGTTCTAGAGGGAACTTGGGGTTTTCCCAGAGAATTGGCTGGGCAGTTCAACCGAAGTCTTAGTCGCTGCCTGGAATGGGTGTCTGACAAGGGCTCTGGATTGGCTTGTTCCTATGTGACTTCTCACTGTGCGTTGATCCCAGGGTGCCCCTTGGTTTTCTAAGGATCTTGGGGAGATGAAACCCCTGAAGACTCCTAGGAAACTGTTGGAGAAAGATGAGTGAATATGGCCGAGTAGGAGCCTTATGATGCTGTTTTTGAGAACCCTACTGATGTAAGTCTTGTCCTCTTGAAATGGAAGAACTAGAAGAAACAATTTGTTTAAATCAGGTTTATTTCAGGAAAGTTATTAAATCTGAAGTGTACATAGCCCTGATATTTTCAGAATAGGGCAGGTGTGGATATTTGTAAAAAAAAATCAATATGTGAAAGTATGTCTCTAGCTGTATAAAGATAGCAATGTCTCTTGGTGGTTAGGATAACTGAATCAAATTAAACATTAACAAGAACAAAGATACACAGATCTCTTCTATTATTCCAGATATTCAAATGTATTGAAAAACTACTTGGAAAGTATGTCTAACTCAAAATAAATCAAAGCTCATCTGTTCATGGGAAGTGACGCAACTAAAGGATCTCCTGACAGGATCATTCAGCACGTAAATCAGAGAAGATTGGATAATTCTAAAAGTCAAGTATTTTTTTCCAGTTGGAAAGAAATCTGAAGCCTTCCTTAGGTATTAACAGAACTTAAGCTACCTACAAACTGGATTTGTAACTCACTTTCATTCCAAATCCTAACAGCAAGAAGTACAGCCTTAAGCACATCACCTTCACAAAAGTTAGTAAGCCCATCTGTCAAAAGATAATTGCATGGAAGGGGAGCAGGAATTAGGTCCATTCAGCTTGGTAGAAGTATCTTATGCTTGGATGCTGATAAGCAGCTAATCAAAATGGTCCATTTGGACAGTTTTCATCCAAAGGTGCAAGCAGGGAATGCTTTCTTCCTCAAACTAGAGACCATCACCATCAGGGGGAGCCATCTCTGGTGGTGATACACTGGTGGTATCCATTATTATAGTTTAAGAGTCAGGTGGCTTATAAATAAAATACATTTAAAAATAAATAAAAATTCTGGATCAAGGCCTTAGTTTTTTCCCTTTAACCTGTTCTTCAATCAACATTTCAGTAGTTCACTATGCTAACGATCACCTGTAATGATGATAATCCTTTCAGAAGTTCAGAATCCTTGTGTTTAAAAAATTTCTAATGAAACAAGAAAACAAATCAGCCCAGCATATATAAATGCTTTCTATCATGTGTTGTATAATGCATTTCTCATTCTGGAATATGAATACGGCATTCAGGATCAATTTCAAAAAGCTTTAACTCTAAAGTCTATGGATATCACACACAAGCTTTAAAAAAGGAACTTAAAAAAAGTTTAATGTTTGGAAAGTTTGGCAACTCTTCTTAGAAATAAAGGATTCAGACTGGATTTGCTCTTTGCAATCAGAACCACAACCTTAGTGCAATATGATATTTATTTCTTACAGTAATTTTGGTTGCCATACAAGAGTAGTAAGGATTAGGGAAAGTGCAAGTTACAGGAGCTTGATTTTGTTTTAATCAGTTGGAAATTAGAGGAATTAAAGCACAAAAATTACAGCAACATAGATAACGTGAACATAGTTGTTACACAAACCATACCAAAAACATTACTCTCTAGAAAAGAAAAAAAAAGATGTAATGAGAAAATTATCGTTATTAGAGGCTCATACACAGAGTCATTGCCAGATCAACTGGATAATGCTTATTGTAAAGGAACCCAGAAAAATCACTTTTATTAACTTAAGTACCACAAAGAGCTAGCTTCTGTGATATGTAAATTCTGTAAATCAACAGTCACATATAGTCATTTTATAATATATGAATCAAAACTAGACACCTAGGGAGTCTGTGTAGTTATACACAATTTACATCTTGTGTGGTTTTGGTATTGTATACACAAATATTACAGAAACTAAGCATGTAAATGCAATTTATTAAATTACAGTATATAAACAAAAGTTGTTCCTAAAACCTGGAATATCATAACAAGATTATTTTTATCACTGTATTTTGCACCATCAAAGTAGCATAACATTAAAAGGGCCAATCTACTCCTGACATTTTCGACATTGACCAAAATGCTAGGAGACAATTCTGTATCTTTTACTATTGCTTTCTATTATAAAGCCATCAAACAGTGCTAAAGACTATTCCAGCTTGCCAAAGGTGTTTCTCTTGATGTAAAGCGGCTCCCTGCAGGCCCTATTACTCTCTAGATCATAAGACATTATGTAAAAATAAATTATTTCATTAGCTCTTTGATGCTTAAAATCTTCTCTAATAATTATATTGTACTCACTATTTAAGTGCCTGAAAAAGATACATGGGCAAGAGACCCCTTTTAAGAAAGGGAGTATCATCACCTATAATTTGTTTACATATCACCATATATTAAACAGTAAAAGGTTATGATTAACAGCAGCTTAAAAGTAATTTTCCCTATTTTTTTCCTCCTATCACTTGTCCTAATGCATTTTCTGGCACATTATAGAGGTAACACCAACTGCATTCAAAGAAATAAAAAGGAGCACGGCATTATGGTTATTTACTGAATTCTGCATTATCACCAAATGGAAGACAATGATGACAGAATCATCTTATTTTTACACCCTTCCCCTGCCCCATCAAAAGAAAATTTGATGATTTTTTTTTGTGTTGGCATCAAATATGTGAATGTTGTCCTCTAGATACAACATTATATCAATGTTTCAATGCTTTTGCACTGAAACCTAATTTTAATTACAAATCCATTTGGAGTATTCAAGTGTGGATAGAAATCTGAAAAGGGTCTAAGAGACAATAACTTAAAAGACCAGTTTTGATAGCGGAAGGAGGGGGGTAACTATTTTTTATAATTATCCACTGTATTGTTAATGGTTACCAGGTGTGAAGAGACACATCATCTGAAGAAGTTTTAGCAAAGATAGAAAATATAACACAGCTCTGCTGGTTCAGATGCATCCAAATGATATTGATTTAAAAAGGTCAAGACTTAATACTTATTCCACAGAAATAGTAGTAAACCACAAAAGTTTTTTTTTTTAATTTCTAGCACTGAAGTGGCACAAAGGCTGCCCAGTAGACCAGCCACTTATATTCTTAAAATATTGTGCTTATAAACTATCTGTACAACTATTTAAACTTGCAGTAAAGAAAGATATTGAAATTGCTGAACTTTATGTACTAATTCTAGGGCTGTTGCAGACCCCTAATGTGAGAAAATAAAATTATAATTAGAGATAGGCTGGGACTTATTAAAAAATGAACTGAGATGCCTTCCAATTAGATGATTAAGCAACTACACATATACAGGCTAAATTATTCATGAAACTGTAAACCACAACATTGCTAATGTGGATTATTTATGGTGGGACAGAGAATGTAAAGAGAATGTTCTGAATTTCACATAAGCCACCAAATCTGAAAATATATATGCCTGGCAAAAGACTAGACTTTTAAAAATCCACTCTAAATTTCATAAACAGTTTTGAACACAATTTTGTCTTAACCTTCTCTTTTCTTTAATTTGCAAGATTTAGGACTAAGGGGATTCTCCTAAAACACAGTACTTTGTATGGGAAGGAAGCACAGAAGAATCCTGCAGTTCAATTTTAAGCAAAAGATTATTATTAAGATGAAACTCTTGATCTCCATTTTTAGAAAAATTGTCCCTTGCATATATAATAGGTACCTACTGTTTTCATGAAACTACCTCAGTAACATGTACTTTTATTAGTATTTTCATTTCATATTTCTTACAGACATCAGGCAACATCTTCCTAATATGGTAAAGATTTAAATCCACTTCCGTAAGTAAACAGGCTTGTGCCACGTAGAGTCATCAAGAGTTGGTTTCCTTAAGCAGGCAAGAGTAAGCAGGTCACAGATCCAAAAAACTTCTTCAGGGTGAAAAGCCACCCCTGTACAGTTAGTTTTGACTGCAGCTTGTGCATTGATTTGTGCATCCACATACAAAATTGCAGAAGGGAAATTCGCCATTCTTTCTACGACACTACGGGGATCACAGCTGTAATAAGGTCCACTATCACATGTGATCACTTCGATCCAGCAAAAGTAGCCTTTACATAAAACAAAGTTCTTTAAAAAGTGGAACTTAACTCAATTTGGGAAGCCCCACCCAAAACCCACCCTCACTGATGCCCTCGTAAAGAGAGGAGACATCTAATCTTGATACCTAAAAGAAAAGGTCTTGTGCAATATTGTCCAAACAACTCAATCCTGTATGAGAGGAAAATTAAAACAGGCTTGACAAAGGCTTACTATTTTGAAAATTCGAACCTGAAATACTTACCTATCATCCCAGTCCATCACAAAGAAACCTTGAAAAGATCTTACTTGAACTACCATCTTACTGTGCACAGATATCTTCAATTCCAATTTCTTACAAATATTTTTACTTTTATTTTAGGCAGCTAAGATCTCTTACATAGCTTTCACACATCATACTGCATTATAAATGAAACGAAAGCATGCCTAAAAACTATCTGGCAATTTGGAAAGGCACTAAACATAAATGGAAAAATAAAAACTTAAAAGTCAGAATTACACTCAATGACAAGAACTAACTTCATTTCCAAAGAAATCAACATAATAATCAGGCCAAAAACATCTGACATTTTTTTTTAAATCTCTGGCAATGCTATGAATGTATAGAAGTTTTTTTTAAAAAAATCAGTAAATATATCATGAAAAATGTGAATGTTAGCATAAAAATTAAATGGCAGAACTAACCAGGAATCCATATAGAAAAACTGAAAGGAGAAGTTGTCTGACCACAGCAATGGGACTGAATCTAACAGTCATATGAAATATTAGTCATATGAAAGCAGATTGCAAAAGGAGCTGGACACAACCTGTTATAGTACATGGAGAAATACCTATGGGTTTTAAACCAAGAAGATGTTGACACATTATTTTTCAAACAGAAGGGCATTTCTAACAGAAAACCAATCCATACGTTAAAAAAGGAATTATATTTGTGTGTGTCCCAGCAATAAAAATATAAACTTTTGAAATAATATCAATATGGTCAGAGCTTACAATTTTTTTTTAAGTTCACAATTATTTCCATTCTTTATTTTCTCTTACTCGCCTCATCCATTTTTAAATATTTGGTCCCATTAATGTGGATTGACATAAGATAGATTCTGGACATAAATTTGCAATCTAACTGATGCTTTTTAATTTGGTGCTACTCTTGGGGAGCCAAGGCATTTGGGGTGTTTTGATACCAGCCTATCTCTATTTATAACAAAGGTTTGTGAGGCAAGACCAGCCATTCTTATCTGTCCAACAGCTGTTTCAAGGCTCTTTCTATGTTCATTCTGTGACCAACCCTAGTCACTCCAAGGTCTATCAAGTCTTCCTTCTGAAGGTTTGGTAAGTGAGTGCCATCTATTTCATTATCCATAAAGGTCTCTTTATGTTCACCTAAATTTAAACTTTCCAACCAATCTGCCACATCTGGTTTAGTCCACAGGTGGACGGGTTTACTTGTAAAAGGCTTATTTGAGATTGGCTGTTGCAATATTGAGGGAGAAGGAGACCTGCTGCGCCCTGTATTCAAAGCAAAGAGGTCTCCAGAAGGAGGCTGGCTGGGTAGGCTAAAAACATCAGGAGGAGTTGGAGAAGGAGATGCAGCTGGAACAGCAGCAGTCAGAGGAGCTGGCAGGATGTCTTTACTTATCTCTGTTGGTGAAACCACTGGGCTTGGAGCATGTCTAGCTCCTGATGTCCTGCTATCATAGTCTGGGACTCTGCTCTGCAGTGTGATGGGCTGGCTAGTTCCAGGCCGAACAGTAAAAGTGATGGTTGAACTCCGAGTACCTGAGACTGTGCTCATGACTTCTGTGCTCCTGAAACAAAAATGAACAAAAAATATTTAGACTTTCATTAAGTCACATAGATTAATCTCCTTAATGCTATTCCATGTTAAAAGTAAGAACCATTATAAGCGTTTAAAATGTTTTAAAAACTAAAGACTATTATCTTAAATATACTATTAACATTCTATGACATCTGGCCATTAAATGCTTGTCAAACACAATCAGGTAACAGTTCCTTTAGAAGATCCTCAGAAACAGAACAATGGATACAATTAGCAGAGTTAAATGTCTTTTCTATTTTAATGTAATTTTTGTTTACTGTCCATATCATAAAAGGAAGGAACCTGCAATACATCTAAGAGATTATAGCAAGATACAAATTAATAATTATAAAATATATGCCATAAGCTTTGTAAAACATGCTGAATAGCAGTATATTTAATTGTAGTTTGGAGTATTGCAGGAAAGTATTGGTATACTAAAACCTGTTTTTAGAAAGCAAACCCTAATGCTTTGTACCAGTTGAATCTTCTGAATATAATAAATATTTTGCCCCATTAGCCCATCTCTGAGATCACAAATAGTAATGATTAGTAAATAGATCAAAAGTACCATAAGCTTGGGAGAAAATATCGCTGACTTTTTTTTTTTTTTAATAATCTGGGGCACGTAGATGCAGCAATACATCCAGAAGAATCTCATATCTATAAAACTGCCTGATCAAAGGCGGCTTTATCCCACTGAAACAGATGTCAAATTATATGAGCTCAGGAAAGATTGCAGGTTGATGCTCTTAGCATAGGTGTGTAGCTGAGATCAACAGTCCCAAGCTGTAAACCAGATCTTTCAGGTGAAGCAGACTCTATGAAGATCTAACGTCTATCTATTTACCCTCATCCAAACAGGCAATGTTCAAGGCTATCAACCAACTCCTTTGTATCAAGAGCAGTACAATTATAAGTGATCAGCACACCAGGCACAGCTCACATCTAACCTACAAATGACAATCTCTCTGTGGCCTCTCATAGACAATGAGGAATATTGGGGACAAAATGGCACCTTGGTGAATATCATATGCCAAACGTATGGTGTTAAATGTGCTAATGGGCAATCCTATCAGGTAACCCTGAAGAATATTATGAATACTTCTGGGCCTTCTTACTTGCCTATACAGGTGTCCTTGCTTAATAACCACTTGTTCACCAACTGTTCAAAATTATGATGGCGCTGAACAAGTGGTACTTACAACCAGTCCTTGAAGTTCTGGTCATTGCAGTGTCCCACAGTCACGACTGCCATTTGTGACCTTCACTGCCAGCTTCTGAAAAGCAAAGTCAATGGGGAAGCCGGCAGGAGGTTGTGAATGGTGTCCACGTGACAGTGTGCTTAACGATGACACAGAATTTGCTTAATAACGGCTACTGGAAGTGCTGGAACTGTTGTTGATAAGTGGCGCAGTTATGTGATGTCATGCTTTATGACTGCATCACTTAATGATACAAATTCCAGTTTCAATTGCTGTTGTTAACTGAGAACTATCTATATGCTTTTCATAAGCACATGGCACCAGCATATCTTATTTGCAAAATAAGAATGAAACATTTCTGGTGTGTTTATATTTACTTTATAAATGATAAGCTGTACATATTCATTTATTCACTTATTGAAGTAAGTAATTCATTAAGTTGAGTTAGATACATCATTATAGAATCACACTCTGGTTTTCCTTAGATTATATAAATTTTTATAATTATATAAATCTATCGTTCTACTAAAGACTTCCATGCAGAAGAACAATTATGTTTCTTTGTTCTAATTTAATTCCTTTTGAGGCTCAAAGCTTAGCAATAAGATCCATGGACCCAGAGATTACAGTTCAGTTGACTAAACTTCCATTTAAGTGGAAGATGTTCTATAAAATGAAGCTCATAGTGGGATTAGCCATTGATTTCAATGGGATGGACTGCAATCATGCTCCATGTGTTTATGGCAATTAAACAGCTTGTAGGAATTCCTAAACAGTAATACTTTGTTCCATACTTCACTTCCTGTTAGCACCCCATGTACATGTTATGCAAAATTATTCTTTCACATGATATATTATCGCATCATATCACTAAATATTCCCAGTAAAAATGCAGTAGGTGAATTTTAATTATTTTCAACCATTTTAATAGGATTTAAATACAATGTTATTTACAAAACAAAATTTACTAGCAGCAAGTCTGTTACAATTGTTTGGCTACAAAACTATGACCCCAAATATCTATGCTCTTTAAAGACAAGCAAAATAATCTAATATTTTCATTTAGAAGTAAGTCCTACTAAGTTCTCCAGGTCTTTTTCATAACTATGTCCTGATATTTGCATTTGCTTCCAAGTTGGTGGGATGTGGATAACAGTAAATTAGCTTGAAAATAATCTCTAGATTAGAGATCCTTAGCTTGTTTAGAAGCTATTCTAAAAAAGCACGCTTGGGCTCAAACTGGCTTTTGGTTTCACTTGTGACATACTGGCCCAACTATGCCCAGACTGACTGGCATTGTCCTTAATGTTAGCAGGAAATGGTACCTATGGCATGGGTCTGACTAGGGCAGATAATCTAGTGTACAACTTTTCTAATTCTAAAAAGCATGATGTGAAAGCTTCAACAGGGCAAAGTCATGATGGGTGACTAAAGTCAGTATAAATGGCCCACGGGCAACTGTTGGGGTGCAATGACAAAATTAGTGTTATAATGCCATGCTGCAAGCTCCACTCCCTTTATATATTATTTGTGATGTAAGGAGTGGAGCTTGAATGAGATGTCAAGCTGCTCATTTAATTATTTTGATTAAACCATCGGATTCTGCAGATGCTTTGCTATGGGCCTATCTGATGTTAATAACCACTTAGGGAGGTTTGAGCCTTGGAATCTAAGAGATGTATGAGGAAGCAGAGGAGGACAGATTAATCTCCCAACAGAATGAATGGAAAGTGAACATAAGGAAACAGAGTATGGAAGCTGCTTGAAACAGAGTGAAAAGAATTACAGTATGTTACAAAGCTCCAAAGAATTGTATGAAATTATTCTAATCGGAGGTATAAAAAAGGTTGCTTGCTAGAATAATAACATGAATGTAATTATGGATAAGGGGAAAAGTAATGGAATGGTTGTGGTTGCTGCAAAAAATGAGAAGAGGGTATATATAAAGAAAAAGATAATTGCAAACAATGTCAAAAAACTGTGGAGTCCTTGGGGTTCTCTGAACTTGGTTGTTTTCTTGCAGGGATTTCATTACCCGGCTAGGTAACATCTTCAGTGCTAGAGGGGAGTGGGGTTTGCTCCCTGTTTATATACAGTAGCTTGCCCTGTCCGTGTTGGTGGAGATGTTGTTTTCTCCTTGGTAGTTCCATGATTAGGCTGTTGTTTACTGCTTGATTGTTTGCCTGGTGTTAATAGTTTCAACTGGGAAACTGTCAGCATCTTAGACCAAGCTAAATCCAAAAACACGAGGGAATTCTTCAAAGCTTGGTATTCAAACAAGTCAGCCATCAACAGGCAGATAGAGATAAATAACATCTACACACTATTCAAAAGAGACAATAAAAAGGAAAAAAAAGACCAGAACACCTCCTTGCCAGCAATCAGCATCCAGATAAGCAGAGATTAACACCAGGATTATCATCAGACAAACAATCAAGCAGTAAACAATACCAAATCAAGGATCTGCCAGCTCAGACAGACAATCAAGCAGTAAACAACAGCCTAATCATGGAACTACCAAGAAGAAAACAACACCCCCACCAACATGGACAGGGCAAGCTACTGTACATAAACAGGAAGCAAACCCCACTCCCTTCTAACACTGAAGATGTTACCTAGCTGGGTAACAAAACGTCTGCAAGAAAACAACCAAGCTCAGAG